CCATTGTATGAAATTAAATATTATATATATATAATTAGAAAGAAATGTTAATTAAAATATGTAATATAAATTATAAAATAGTTGTTGGATGTATTATTATAGAGTAATAAAAGAAGAAAAATATAAATATTTTACCATGTCATTTTCTTGAGAGGGAGAGGGAGAGGGAGAGGGGGTGGGGGACTTAATTTTAGTACTTATATTTGGTGATGTACACATCCATCCATGGCAGAAAACAAGAAGGGACACCACAGCAGTCCTACAACAGGATAGAAGTAGAGACCAAGTGAAAGGCCAAGCCCACAACCACACTTTCTCTAATTCTAGAGAGAGAAACACCCACACCCACACCCACACCCACACCCACAGAAACACACAGTTGATGTAGGTTTAGAAGCAGAAAGCAAATTTAGCAAGGGGTTGAAGATGAAGCTCAAATGGTGATATGAAGATAAAAGGTTTGTTTCTCTCTCTCTCTCTCTCTTCAAGTTTTCCATAATTTCAAGACTTCAAATCTGAAGCAAATCACAGAACCCAGAAAAAAGCTCTCATCTTTTGGCTCAAAAAGGCAAAGATTTCTTGAAATTTGTTCTTCTTATGTTTCTGATTTCTTGTTCCTTTTCTTTATTGTTAATGGGTTTTTTTTTTTTTTTTTTTTTTTTTTTTTTTTTTGTTGTCATAGATTTTTTCTTTTTTTCATTTTTGAGCACATCTCAAACCTTCAAACTTAAAAAAACCCCACAAAAAAACATCATTTTTGGACCAAAAATAATCAAGATTTCTTGACAGCTGTTCTCATCCTTCTTATGTTGTTATTTTATCTTGATTTTTTGGTGGGATTTTGTCTTGGTTCATGTCTGTTTCATTAAGCTCATTGTGAAAGCATCTCAGAACCTCCAAATCTTGAACACCCACAAAATTTTCTGGACTAAACATAATCAAGATTTCTTGAAAGTTTTTTCTTGTTCATTTCTTTTTGTGTTGGTGGGTTCAATGTCTTGTTTTTGTTTCATTGAACTCTCATTTAAAGCTCCAAAGCTAAAAATCCCAAAAAATTATATCTCATTTTTGGAATAAAAATAATCAAGATTTCTTCAAACTTGTTCTTGTTCATATTATTTTGTTAATTTCCCCCTCTTTTTCGTTCTGTAGTGGTTCAATGGATTTATTTTTTTGTTTCGTTGACCTCATTTTTAACCCAACTCAAACCTCCAATTAAAACCCACAAAAAGAAAAGCTATCATTTCTGGCCTGAAAAATAATTCAAGATTTCTGTATACATGATGTTGAACTTTCTGTGAGTTTTTTACAATTTATATACATATATTTGGGTCAAATTGGACTCAAATTTTTAAAAAACCCACAAAAAAGGAACTTCAAAAATTAAAAAAATGTGTTCTTGTTTTGTAATTTCTTTAGGGTTTCTAATTGTTTAAAATTAAATCTTGTTCTTTTCCCTGGTGAACAGATGAGAGGTATGGCATTTGAAGTTGCAGCTTTTCAACCTTCTACAGAATCAGTCAAGTGCAAAGAAGGCAGCTTTGGTAGCAACGCCACCAATGAACCTATTTCTGTTCTCGACACAAGGAGGAGCCCAAGCCCTTCCACCTCAACCTCCACCCTCTCCTCCTCCTTCGGCGGCGGAAATGACTGCACCACCACCACCACTACTACATTGCTAGCTGTTTCCGACAACAACAACAACAACCTTCAACAAAAATGGCCGGATTCTGTTCCCCAGGAAATGCGTGTTTCTGGGTGTTTGGCAAATCTTGGTGTCTCCGCTGACGGTGGCCGGAAAGACGAGTGGTCGGAGTTACAACCCATCCCAGCAGAATTTGAGCTTCAACAACAGAGATTTGGGGTTGGATTGGAAGACTGGGAAAGCTTGTTATCTGAATCTGCAGCTTCTCCGGCACAATACCAGTCTCTTCGGTGGATCTCCGGCGACTTTGATGACACATCATTGAGCCTCCAACAACTCCTACAGAGCAACCAATTTCATGAAAATGCTCCTCCCACCACCGTTTCTGAAACTCCGGCGCCCCCATATTTTAACTCACAAAACTATTTCCCCTTCTCTAACCCGGATCAAAACCCGCAAGTTTTCAATCCGCAAATGATTCTAAACACTCCTCCACAGTCACAGCCACCACCGCCGCCGCCGCAGATTCAATTCCACCACCAGGGTCTTCAAAAAGCTCCGAATTCCGTTCAGGGTCTTCATAAAGCTCCGGTCTTTCCACAGGGTCTACACAAAGCTCCAGTTTTTATTCAGGGTCTTCAGAAAGCTCCGAGTTTCCATGGAAGTCTTCATAAATCTCCGGCTTCTGGTTTGGGTCTTCAAAAAGCTCCGATTCCCAATCAGGGTCTTCAAAAAGTTCCGGTTTTGAATCAGGGTCATGAGTTACAACTCAAGAAGCAAAACCAACAACAGTCATTCCTCCAACAGAAACCATTGATGGTTGCCGGCGGTACACAACAAGAACCACAGCAAACTGCTCCTCCTCCGTCGCCGGTCCACCACCATCACCACCAGAACCAGCTTATCTGTGACCAGCTATTTGCCGCGGCTGAGCTAATGCTATCTGGGAATTTCTCACACGCGCAACAGATATTGGCGCGGCTCAATCACCAGTTTTCTTCGGCTCCGGCACCAAACAAGCCTTTCCAAAAGGCAGCTTTTTATTTCAAGGAAGCTCTTTTAACTCAAATGGCATCTCTAATGTCGGATTCTAATCCGAATAGGATCGCCCCATCGTTTAATGGCATGTTCAAGATTGGAGCTTATAAAATGTTTTCTGAAGTTTCTCCGATTATCCAGTTTATGAACTTTACGTCAAATCAGACACTTCTTGAAGCTCTTGGCGATGCCAAAAACATTCACATCATTGATTTTGATATCGGATTTGGTGCACAATGGGCTTCCTTCATTCAAGAGCTTCCAACCAAAAAGAACAACAATGGTGGTGGTGGCTGTTCACTCAAGATCACTGCTTTCGCCTCACCATCAACCCACCATCCGATCGAACTTGGTCTTATGCACGAGAACTTGTCACAATTTGCTCAAGAAACCGGGATTTCTTTCCAGCTCGAAGTTGTTAACTTCGATTCATTTGATCCAAGATCGTTTTCCATATCCGGGCAGGAAGCAATTGCTGTGAATTTCCCCATTTGGTCAGCTTCAACTCACCTATCTGCCATTCCTTCCATCCTCCATTTCATAAAACAGCTTTCACCACGGATCGTGGTCTCACTTGATCGTGGATGTGAAAGGACGGATTTATCCTTCCCTCAGTACCTTCTACAGGGTCTCCAATACTATGAAGTTTTATTGGACTCCATTGATGGTGCCAATGTTGTTCCAGAAGTATCCAACAAGATCGAAAAGTTCCTTTTCCAGCCTCAAATCGAGCGAATGGTGATGGGAAAACTTCAATTCCCCGAACGAATGCCCCATTGGAAGTCACTGTTTACCGCCGGAGGGTTCTCGCCTGTAAGCACTTCCGCAGAAGCTCAAGCTGATTGCATCGTGAAGAGGATGCAGATTCAGGGATTTCACATCGAAAAGCGGCAGGCAGCGCTTGTTCTTTGCTGGCAGAATCGAGAGCTGATGACGGTTTCAGCCTGGAAGTGCTGATTTGCTTTCGATCAAAATCTTGAAGCAAGAACACAAAATCCAGAGAGGTTTAAATGAAGTTTGGAATCTTGAATAAATCTTTGAACTAATGAATGTTGTTATATGCTGATGCTGGTGCTGATGCTGATGCCTCTCTTTTAAGTTGTATTTTGTAAACTTTCTTGCTTGCAAATGATCATCTATCTATCTATCTAGTTTAGACTGTTAATTGACTATTAAATTTGTTGAATCTTGCTGCTTTTTATTGCTTTTCCATGTCGATATTCGTGTTCAATACGCTGTTCACGTAAATTGCATTAAAATGGAATCAATTTTGCGTTCGTTTTATTCTTAGAACCAACTTTCAAGAAATCCTCAAGGAGACATTTTGAACAAGTTTATCAAACGCGTACCAAATTACTTGTTATTTGGTAATTTGGTACATGTTTGGTAAACTTGCCATAATTTTTCAAAATATATCGTCTTGTTGAACTAAATTGTTACCTACTTCGTGTTTGGTCTTGTAATCGAAACAAGAATATGGTAATAGATATCTTAAATGACAAGTTCTAGAAATCGGTAACAAGTGTATTCTGTTTTAATGCAATTTATGTTTTTACACATTTACCCAAGTCGTGCATGTTTACGAATTCTATAATTAACCTTAAAAATCAACTTTTTCACCGTAACTTTGAAAACAACAATCCATATCATATCGACTATAAATTACAAAAATCAGTTTTACAGTACATCTAAAACATCCCGTTCACTTTTACGGGTCCATGGTTCTATATTTTGTTTTACAGTCACATTGAAAATCTTATTCAATCAAAGATTTTCATGAAAACAACTTTTTTAACCGTTAAGTATAACTACAAGTAACGTTATATGCACCCATTTAATATCAAAATCAATTCAAATTTTACATGTGTAATGTAAAAAATAAATCTTGATACAGTGAAGATTAAAATTAATAGATTGTAATATATTTATCGATATATGGAGGATGTAGCATGTGCATGTTATCCATGACATGATGGGTACTATTGTCCTTTCACAAAGCATTTAACAAATACCCAATTGGTCATTATACAACATATATTTCCTGTAATGACGTATTTTAAATTGGAATTTAATTACTTCTCTGTTTGTAGTAAACCAGACACGTTAACGTCCTTAATTTATTTTATGTTCAAAGTGGGGTTTTTATTTCTTCATATTATTATTATTATATCAAATTAAAAATAGAAATAATATTATTTTACTAAGGGTTTAACTATTTTTTAATAAAATGTATTAAATAAAAAATGATAGGAACATGGGTTGATAACGTATTTTAATTCTAATAAAATACAAACATCGTTGTCGTTGAAAACAAACTCTTATATAAATCCTTTTTTAAACCAAACAGACATTGATAATCGCGACTATTTTGGACTAACATTATATTTAATTACTCGATCCAATTAAAATAAAAGTTTTTTTTTAATTATTTTCATAAAATAAAATATTTAATTATAATTATTACATCAAATTCCAACAAAAGAAAAGAAAATAACACACCATGTTTTAATTAAGAGGCTTGAACATAAGGATTTTAAGTTATAAGTTGTTTGTTTACCTTTTAATAGTTTCATTAAATGACAGTCTCTGAATCATTAAGAGGTTAATTTTGTTTGACAGAACAAAGTATGTCTTTTAATGGTTTTAAAATCATCTGAATGATTTTGTATCATGAGTCTCTCTTAACCATTCAACGTCCTAATTTCATTGTAAACAATTATCAAACAATTATATTTCATTTTGTACTATATCATAAAAGTTTCTTAATCATTCTAACCACTTAATCATTATACATCAAACCATTCAGTTACTGTCAAACCCTATGAATTAATTGTAGTTGCTGGTTATCAACTTTTTATCTAAATGAGACGTAGATGAATACTATGTTTTTCACGTTTATCTATTTATTTACAAACAATTTTTTCGTGAGAAACATGTGAAGGCCATATTTATTCATCCAACATGCATAAAGTTGAGTATGACTTTATTGTTGGAAAATGTGTTAAGGAAAGTGTGTTTGAGTTATTCTCGATCTAAATATTAATAAGAACACATGTCCAATTTTTGTACAAAATAGAGTTTATAAGATTGTGAAATTAAATCTTAAAATATAGTTATCGAAGTGGATCTCAGCATGGATGTTGAGGAAAAGAGGTTGTCGCATACACCTGGGATCATGCGAGGCTTAGTTTTCGTGAGACCCGTAACACAGTTGAGCCATACTGCATGAGTTGAACCGTCAAATGTGAAAAAAATCAAACTTTCACATGAAAAAACCAAATCTTCAAATGTAAACACAAAGAAACCTTCATATGAAAAACGCATAAAACAACATATAATAATTTACACATCGTTACAGTTATATTACTGTTATTAGGTAAACACCCTTTTGAAAACCTTATGAAGTGACACTTGGTAATAATTAATACAATTATAAAAGTTGGCATCTAGTGTTTTTATGATGATATATCAATTTAGAAAAGTAATTATTTAAAAAAATAATATATAAATGTGTATAAACCAACTTGGTAGACACTTTATGTGTGTTGAAGTAGTGCTTTTGTGATCAAGAAGTCTTGATCCACCCTCCAAAATCATTCTCTCATTTAGTGGCAAAGTTGAAAGTAAATATGGTCAAGTGGGTCAACATGATCAATATCAACTTTCATAACCTTTTGTTTATAAAATAACTATTTATTAATTAATTCATAAAATGTATTTTAAAAAAATAAAATACCAAATTTTTATAATTATATCATTATTTTCACTTATAACAGTCTAATTATTGTTATTATATATATATATATATATATATATATAAATATATTAGAAAGGCGTTACATAAAAGTTATTAATGGGAAACCCTTTATATTCTATTCCTTGATAGTGATCGTGCTTTTTCCGTCCTACGTCTTTTTCTTCGTATTCTATTCGTTGTTTTCTTCTTTCAGGTTCTTATAACAAGTGAGCGTAGTGACAACGCGACCATTATTTCTTATACACAACCACCCTTCCCGATAAAAACCAATTATAGATTATTACAAACTCATTGATTTCAACTTTCGAACAAGGTCAACTTTGAAAAACATTTAAAGTAAGGTAAGCAATTTGAGTGGAACTATGTCTCCACCATCCACTTTTGTTGTTTCTAAATTTGGCAATTTTTTTCTCTCAAACACGGACCCACGATGCATTTTTCAACAAACAATATAATTGGAAATTATCTGAACGTTTCATTAGATTGTTGACTCGTATTCGTTTAAGAACACATGTAATATAATGAGGAAATTATAGATACTAATACAATTAGATCCGCTCTTCATAGACAAATTGTGAATATTGTAGAGTAAATTCATCATAAGTTGGATTTTGACACTTATAAGAATAATAAATTTTCTAAACTTTTGCATTAGTTAATAAACAATTCATTGGTTAATAATTTATATTAAAGTAGAAAATTTGGGAATAGAAAATATAGGGTAGTTGGCAAACTGTAAATTTGGAATAAAAATATCTGGTGTTTAACAGTGCAAACTAAAAGTTCTTAATAATGAATATGATGGAATAAAAAAACAGTGTAGTTTTTGTCAAAAATTAAAAAGTTTGATGGCAATTTAATTTTGTATTTTCAAGTTGATATGATTTTGTATAATACATGATTCAAACACCTCTTGCCCCCAACGCCCTAATACCCCATAAATCGTTCGAACCGTATTGGAACAATAATCAATTTTAGCAACTGTTTTTCTTTTGCATGTATTTTAGTTCGCATGTTTAAACCATCGAACAAATAAACATCAAAAGTATTAGTCATATTTGATACAGTTTATACTATAAAGACAATACCTTCAGATTAATTAATATAAGTTTTTTTATAGTTTTTTTAATTTATATTTTAGAAATAATATTTTCCAAAATGAATATAAAAATAACTTACAAATATATGATTAGTTTAAACCATATTTTAAAAATATATACATATCTATTATAACTAATAGTTTTTTTTTTTTTCAAGATTTAATGATTAAAAAAATCATAAAAAACAATAATTCTTCTGTTATATACGTATAGATTTAGTGGTAATTGTAGAAAGATCTTTATCTTTACTTTTATTTGTTAATTATTTTGTCAATATAACAAATTATTTTTGTTTATAAATGGCAATATTTGTGTTAATTAAATATTTTTAAATTTCTTTATTAGTCTTGTTTTTAAGTATTTGGTAAATAATTATGTACTAATGTTATTTTATATAATATTTATTTTAAGATAAATGAAGTGTATTAATATCATTTAATTATAGAGATGTTTCAACGTCCATTTTTAAGGTGTTTATTGAGAGTTGAAAATCAATATACAATAAATATTTTAAAAAAATAAAGTTATTTATATATCTATACTACCTTATAAACTAGATTTATCAAAAAAAATTAAAATAATTTTTAATGAACAAAGTACTATACATTTATACACAAAGTTTTAAAAGTCTTAAAAATAATTCATAATGCATTACGTACTACTATTTTATTCATTTAGTCTTAAAATCTCTTAATCTACAATTAAAATAACATATAGTATAAGTTACCAATGCATATTATTACTTTTTCTTTTCATGTTCTCAAGATACTTTTGACACCTTTCACTAATATATTCACCCTCTCATACCTCTATATCTTATCCTCATCCTCCAATGTGAGATTCAAAATGATATCCACTATGAGTCATTCATTCATCTCTCATTCAATTGCTCTAGAACTTTCGGTCTCGCTCTCGATCTCTTGATTATTTGTTCTTGGTGTAAATCGAATTTATTTGTGGAGTCGTTTAAATATGTTAGATTTTAAACTGCCATACAATTTTTTCATCGATAGATCAAATTGGAACCATAACTCTTATTTGTGGAGTCGTTTAAATACTTTCTGTAATTGGAACCATAACTCTTATTTATTCAAATTGTATTAATATTTATAGATCAAATGTAGCTTATATTATCATTAAATCTTCTCTAATAAAACTAGTGAAACTTTAAAATTGTTAAAATTCACGGCTCCCACAGTATTACACGAATACACAACTAGCAACTTAAAAAATTAACTTTTTTAATTCACTTTTCATCCAAATTTGATTGTTTTCAACTTGAGAATAACTTATGGGCTTTAGGTGTGGGTCAAATAAATGTTTGGACTTTGGAGAAACCACAAAGGCCCAATTCATTTTTATAGCCAACCAAGAACAATCGTGTATATAGTGTATAATTGTATAAATATGTGAGAGTTCGAATATGATAGTTGCAATGAGAAAGAAGTCGTAATTTTTTTAAAAATTGAGCTTTTTGTAAATTCTCGAGTCTTGAGTTAACTATCTAGCGGGCCACTGTGTATCCGATCTACTTCTCAAATGATACATTTAAAAATTCACGGTGTGAGACAATTAAAAAGTTACCGGTTACAAAGTTTTTCTTATTCAAACACAAATAACAAATTGCGACGTTATAACAGTAATTACAAATTAAGGGTAATTGCTAGATGGCGTCTTTTCCCCTCTTACTTATCGGGAGGGCATTCTTCTCTTATAGCCTTCACCTCCGGCTCGACCTGGAAATAGAGATGCGATATTTAGTATCAAAAATAGGTATTTCTTATATCTGAGAGAAAGGAGTGCATGAGGTTGTTTAGGGTTGTGTCGTGTAAACTTGTGATCCATTTTATTAAAATTTGTTTGGGTAGAAAACAAAAAATCGATAAAAGAACAAAAATAATCTTTATTTAACAAAAATTTCTAATGGTCATCAGAAGAAGAGACCAAATCCAGACGTCTTTACAAACCACGATGATCATCTTGTGATTTTTAAAACAATAGGATCAAAAAGTAATATCTTTGACAAACCATAGGGACTAAACTTGTAGATATTAACGGTCAGAAATTAATTGAAGCCCAAGCTTCAAAATTTGTTCGACAACAATCTAGATTGTTTGTCAAGAAAATAGTCAAAGTCAAGATTCCTCAATTTCTAATTATTTATTCATTGATTTGTTTTCCAAGTTTCGAATCTATCGGCAACGTTTACAAAGATTTTGACTTCCAAACGACCTAATCAACCGCTTAAGATGGGTTTAATCGTAAGAAATTTCTCGTTCATGGCGGGAACCTTGTTCGGAATCTATGTTGCTCAAAATTACGAAGTTCCAGATGTTAAAAACATCGTCAATGAAGCCCTAAAAAGGGCTAGGCAACTCGAGGATCGGTATCGTAAGTCTGATTAGATGACACCACACAAAGATTTCTTGAATCAAGAACAGAAGAAGAACAATTTTGGGTTTGTCATCTTTAATTTTTAACAGGGTTTGGGGTTCGATTGTTAACGGTGGTGATTAGAGCCTGGTTTAGGGTTAACCCATTGTAAGTTGAGAGGACTCGAATCCTGTGTCTTCAATCCTTTTTGTTTTGATTATTATAATACGATGAGAAGGTGAAATGCAAATGATTATTTTTGATTTCGATGTGTGCAGAAATTTGTTTTTTTCATTATTGTTTAATGTAATCACGTGTTTGCATTGTTTGGGCATTGATAATTGACGCCGCTGAATCGCCGGAGTTCCTCACCGGCATCCCTAATTGTGTAAAATCATTGCAATTCCGGTGGAATCATGCTTTTCTATATTTCAATTTTCATTTAGGACTTCAAAAATCTATGATTGTATCAAGTTTCTAGGTTTCTCTGCTGGGAAAACCTGAATTTTATTGTGGTTTGGCATTTAATACTTATTGATGATGATAATAGCTGCTGTAAGTAAATGATATGGTATTCAAGAATGGATGGAATAAATTTAGAAATAAGATACAATCGATATCTACTTACAACCTTTGTCCCAATGGCTTTGGATGACTAAAATCTAGACATAAATTGACTTAACAATTTAAGATATATGTCCATGTTGCAGGCTAATCCAGCTCTAACTCATTGCTGTAGTGAAATTAGCATATTCGGTCCGTACATAAACAGTATTTGCAACAATGCAATCACGAAAATGACAGGCGTTTATCTTGCTTCTAGTTGGGTGTTCTTGATTATATCTTTGTCAACAGAGGGTTATATACAAGTATAGAGTCTTTTGTATGCGTTTATTTCGCTTTCTTCTTGTAAATTATCCTTAATCTGATAATACTCAAAGCAAGAACACAAGCAAAAAGGGAGAAAAAGAAACCATCCATCCATTATAGGCTTTTATAACTATAATCTTGGCAGTGCTACCAGAAAAGCCGAAGAAATGAAGGGGTTGGCAGAGGATTGATTGCATCTTCGGATAACCCTTGGGAGATAAACTGTTGTTAATTAGTTTAAAGTCTACGGTCTCGGTTGACACTGAAGATTTGTTTATTTTAGCATCTATCAAGATCTGGCCAGATGAGATTCGTTGTATGCCTCTTTGATTAGTTAATCTTTTAGCCTAGCCGCCATGCTTATTCAATAAATCAACCAACTGCAGCTAACATGGAGGTGATAATATAATATAAAACTGTTATATAAGTTAAAGAACAGTGTATCTTGGCATCATTAATGATTTCATACATGTTTTCTGGTGTATTATATGTTCTAAATTGGTCAGCTGATGTAATCTACTCATCTTTATTTGGCATATTCATCTTTTATGCTGACCGTTGACTGTTTCTAGTACTCTTCTATATGGGTATTCATGGGTATTCGTCACTTATAAAAAATTTATCAGTAGATGTTACTATTGAACCATGGTCAACATTGGGCTTTCCTGTCACAAACAACCGTTAATTCAAAATTGCTACACAGATTATACATAGATTCTTGGTGCATTATGGACTTGATATCTAACGTTTATAACCATAGATTATGCGGTTTTACTCGACTGATATGCATAGGTCAGATGGACTAGAGGCAGCTGTTTCTTGATCTGTTGAAGAAGAAGATAAAGAATGCAGTGAATCCATCTGCTTGCTCACTAGATGCCAATCGTCAATGTGCACAAGCTGCCCGTGATCTGAACCTTCTGGTCCTTTTCTGTCAAGAATTTCTAAAATCTTTTTGGTTTTTCCGAAAAGCAAAACTGCACTGCGGATGCTCTGGTCCCTTTCCTCGATCCTACTTTGATGGCATTTGCTGGAAATAACACGTTGCAAGTTCGTAAAAGCTGCTGCTAATATATTACAGATCATGAGCGATATCTTCTCAAATAATCTTTCGTTGGTTTCATGAGGTGCCAACAGGAGAGTTTTGCATATTCTGTACATGGAATTTGCTGCCAACACCTTGATGGGCCAACGGGATGGGGCTTCCTTTAAACATTCATCCATGAACATCATGTCTTTATTCGCAAACTCCATGAATTTTTCCTTCGAGATTTCAGCAAGTAGTTTGATGATTTCAGGTTCCGTCTCAGATTCTTGATTCGCTAGTTTGCAAAGATCAACATCTAACCATTTGTTATAGAGTTCGACTCCTGACCAAACTATTTCTGCTGTTTTCCTTACATGTTTCAGGTCTTTTTTGTCGAGATGATTTTCTATCTCATTGACATACTTGAGGCCTTCATCTACACCACACACTAATTGCTCAATTAGTTTTTCATCGATATTTGGAATTGCGATGGCGATGCTTGTTAATGTGACGATAGGGAGAGCCCAACAATTTGGAGGTTCGTTAGAACTCAAAGATGGAATTTTATCACTGTTGAAATCTTGTACTCCGGTGAATGAACTTAAAGAATCCAATTGATCCAGAAGTTTTATCAGATTTCGTGGCTTTTCTTTTTCGCCCATCCGAATCCAGTGAGCAGTTGCATCACAGTTGTTTTCTGTCATCAAATCGACCAGTCCTTCTTCTCCTTCAAGATAAATCACATAACGACGCAGACTCATATTTGGATTATGCTGCAATTCCATCTCCGAATCATTGCTGGAAACACTATTATCGCGATTCACGAACTTCTTTAACCTCAAGAATCGGCTGACAAAGAAGATGGAAACGAACCTGATCATCTTGCAACAAAAAACCAATCCTTTCTGCATCCAGATAAAGAAACGAAACATTTGAAACTTTACTCCATGAGCCAGTTTTCTCCACCGCCGGTTACGGATTCTTAAACCTAGCGGCTGCACCTGCCAAAAAAGCAACCTCTTTGTCCAATACCTCTCGATCACAAACTCTCGATTGCAGGCCCGTGATGCCTTTGTTGGACACCTGAAATTGATGGTCATGAACCATCTAAAAGCCGGTGAAATCGTGCCCACCCCAACTGCTACCGTTTGGCTTATGAGCACAAGGGTCGTTGACCATTTGTAATCAGATTCTCCAGTGCAAAATCTGAACGACCACGGCATGATTCGAGGTCTGAGTATAGATTCAGCTAAGATCAGCGTGTTGAAAAGACAAAACGCCCCTGAAGCCGAGCAAGGTGCAGACCGGCCGATCACAAACTGAGGACTCGAGGTATGCGCCATCATCCAATACTTCCCTAAATCTTGGCGTAGCCTCTCGGCTACCGGTAAATTTCTTTGAAGAAAACACACTTTATTGGCTTTCTTCAACTTCCTTTCATATGTTATATCCAAATAATACTTTGTGGTTGGAATAGCCAACGATAAAGAACACAAAATTGCAAGTAAAATAAGCATAAGAAGCATAATGAGAACATGCTCAATCCAAAACTCAAAAATCACACCTGTTCCCATTTGTATGCAGATATTTGTGATTGCAGTGATGACAAGAATCCCTAAAGCCACAATATTCATCAAAAGCTCAGTATCTTCCATGGTTCCCAAAGAAGGCAGTAAGTTCCCCATCACCATACATATGAAGGCGGAGCTGCTAACTTTAGCTAGCTGATCTTGGCGGCGTGGCATGGCGGCATTCAGATCGACGGAAAATTTGATTGCGATTGCAATAACAGTAAGAGTTGTGGCATTTAGGGTGAAGAATTTGCAAGGGAACCAGAATTTCTTGTATCTGAAGCCGTGAACGGAGTCTATGGCCATGGCCATGGCGGCGAACAGTGACGCTGCTGCTACGTAGATACCGATCCATGGCATGGGATCGTTGAATTTTGAATCATTCAGGGAGCCAACCGCCGTGCAGCCACTGTTGAACATATTTTCCGGTATGTTGCTGATGGAATCTGTTGGTTGGTGTTCACTTTGGGTATTAGTTCCAAATGAGTGGTCGTGTTGGCTTTTATTTACTAGCTTCCAGTCTTCAAAAGATTTCAGCAATTGATTTTGGTACACAAGATTCTTTTATTTCCATTATTGTATTTTTTGAGGTTATTAAATAAATGTTTTTATTAAACTGTAAATCATATCTTATCATATCATATCAACGTATATATTTCCAGGAGGCTTCTGGTTTACTTTGACCGGAGGAGGTTGGTTATACGATGACGTTTGTGCTCAGAACATCCACACTTGTATTATCACAGTCACAGCTGTATCACTCTTCCCTAATTATTAATAAGTTTTAGAGTAAATTATGAATTTGGTCCCTATGGTTTTGAATTTGTCTTGGATTTGGTCTCTACAATTTGTTTATTTTAAGATAGCCCCAGAATTTAGATTTTCGTAACACGTTGGTCCTTTCCACTAATAGTGGTTAACTCTCATTTGTTATGTGAGGGGCAATGTGGTCCTTTTACCAACTTTGCTTGTTTTCTTACAAAACTAAAAAATATTTTAAACCCTTCCAATTGACGCACCTCTATTTTAGAACCAGGAACCACAACCACCACCATCTATCTACCTTTTATCTTCTCCGGTCAAACATGTTTTTCCAATCAACTTCTTTGGCCATCAAACACCATAATATTCACATACCAAAAATTCAAATCCAAACCCCAATATCAAAATCAAACCCAAGCCCTAACCCTAATTACCAGAACTCAAAATCAAACATCCAAACCAATGTCAAATAATCATCACTAATCGAGAAAAAAAAAAAAAAAAGCAAGGACCAAACTTTGTTAAATTGGCTACACCTACATCTCGTACATAGGTGAAACCTTGCTAAACAAGGACGAAACCTTGTTACATATCATTTTTGGTTTGTAATCTTGGTTGAGTGGTGGGAAAGTGGAGACAAATGGGTTTTTATAGGCTTTCACCACCCAAAATCTATTCCATATGCCGGATACCCACAAATGCTCGTAAACATACAAGTCTCTGTCTCATCAATTGTTCTTTGCTTCTCTTCTAAAACACTTGCCCCACTCGTGTTCGAAACCATTTTCTTAGACTGTGGATTTGCATCTTTTGCTTCTTGAGTTTCATTAATTTCACGTTCGTTCTTCGTTAGAATCTCCATGCTGAAGTAATAATTTCCTATTGTATTTTTAGAAAGCGGCTCGATCATCTTGTTTCTTATGTTCATCTGATGGCAAACACCGGTTGGTTTGAAAGAGCCTGAACTATTCTTGGTAGCTGCTGCCACTGAACACTTGTAAAGTAGCCAATTCAAAACTTCGACACGAGTAGGGTTTGCGATGGGTCGTCCAGACTCCGCGGTCGTGGATTTGATGTTGTTTTTCATCTTGTTCATCTTTGAGTTGGGGAACACGAAACTCCTTGTGATAGAATGGTTTGATGACTCAATCGATAATCCCACAAAGTTCATGTTTATGTTTTCAAAAGGGAGGAAACCGCGGATCAATCGGAAATCCATGTTTCTACTCCACGGAGCAAAATCGTGTCATTTTAGTCCAATCGTCAAAAAAAGGAATGGGTCAAACTGGTTCCGTCTGCTACCTTGTGGGATAACGACATTGCCACCGCCATTCCTCCACATTCAAAATGGCTGACTTGAACAGCGAATGGGATCACTCGGTCGCTTCGAAGATCATGACCTTTACGGTTCCTACTGTGCCATATGGAAAGAATTGATCAAGATCTTCATGCAACGAGTTTTGGAGGAAATTTGAAAGCGTACCGTTAACAGATGCTTCAAGAAACTCAGCTCCCTCGTCGTTGCAATCTACATATGCCGATGCAATTTTGGCGTGCCTACCGGCAAAAGAGTAGTATTGTGTTAATGTTTGAGATAATGAGTTCTTAAGGTCAAGCGTTTTAGCATGAATGGCGGAGTTGGGGTAGAAAACAACCATCGGCATATATGTGTTGACGAAGATTTCATCGAGCAACGAAAGATTGCGAGGTTTGAGGTGAAAAGGGTGGGAGATTGATGATTTCTCTTGAGACGATAGGGTGAAGCTGCCTTCTTCTGCTGAATGTGACGAGCAGCCTGGTTATCATCGTCATCTTTACAAGAACGAAAAGGGTTTTGATTGACGATATGAGATATGTATGTTTTCATGTCTTATATATATAGCCATAAGTTGCATGACTTTGAAGTAGGGCGGCAATTAGTTTTCTATTTTCTTGCACATCCTAATATATTTTTTATTAACCCCAATATTCTTTTTATTAACCCGAATATTCTTCCGGCCATGCGAGACGACTAATTTCAAGACACATGCTTTGCAGGTAGTTGGGGATCACCGTATTTGAACCTCTGTGACCATATGTTAATTTTTGGAGTGAACCATACTGGAATCTTCCATTTTTTCTTTTTCTTCAACGGTGTTTTAGAGAGTGATACGGAGATTTCACATTATTTGTATATGGTATTAGAGTCAAGATCTACCATTCTAGGGACTCAACATTCTTACTGCAATAAAATTGGGTTTATAAGAAAAATGTCATATTAGTTATTTTATTAGGCGTTATTTGAAAAAGTGTTATATAAACATAAATGTCCTATAAAAAGAGATTTATAAGACGCTTTTTCGAAAATGTCTTATAAAATAGCTAGTGCGACATTTTGTATTAAAAATGTTTTAAAAAACTTGTTAAGACGTACAAAAACGTCATATAAATTAATTACAACTTCTTTATATAGAACACTTTATTTGTTAGTTTTATAAATTATGTCTTATAAAGTGATCTTTTGGGATGCTTATCTATTGTTGACGTTCTATAAATCCAAATTTGTTGTAGTATCTAGTTAGCTCTATCTCGACACTTTTGGACAATTTGTGGTCCATTTAACCTCTTTTTCTCCTCAAGCATTCCACATACTTAAGTAATATGTTAGTTGTAATCAATAATGATTTGTATTTAATATCTCTCTCACTCACTCTCTCTCTCACACACACACATACACACACATATATATATATATATATATATATATATTTGAGTGGTTGTATCATCTAAAAGTCATCTATGTATCACTGGACCGTCTCGAAAGAGACGGAGGACTCCATTAAATTAATGACTCCGTGTCAATAACAGTTATTCTACTATAGTTATATTTTTTAAGTTATAAAAAATACATTTATGCTTATCTTTAATAAAAAATATATGTATTTTAAACTCATCATTAATAATATATTTTACACATTTTATCTATTTTTTATTTTATTCTTTATCTTATTTTCATTTATACGTTATTATATTTCTCTCACTTATTTCTCTATTGTTTTGTACTTGTGTGTTTTATGTCGATTTGGAGATGAAAAGCTTAAGAAAATAAGACTAGAAAAAAATTAAATTAAACATATATTGTTTTTACATAATAACTTCAGTTGCATTTTTGATAACCAAGGTCGTGCCTATTAAGAGATGGTAATTAATTTAAAAATAATATATTTTTTTAAATAATAATTTAATAGAAGTTTCAATCATTTGTACTACAAGTTTACGGTGTCGTCACATATCCATCGATCATAACGAGATGGTAATTAATTGATCGATTACCAGAAAATCTTAATTAGATCATGACCTGATCGAATATTGAAAGATAGGAGTTTTCTGTGCTAACTAATCTAAGGACGATAAATGATTAAAAAAATAAAAATCAGGGTTTTATTTTGGATTTTTCTTGTGTTTATCAATTAGTTGCATGAAGAAATTTAAAATTTTAGATATGTTAGAAAATAAAAATAAGTGCTACATCTTGTAATGTTTATCTCGTATTTATTATATTTATCTACAGTTAGTTACACGAATTCAAACATAGAGTCTTCATAAGTTGTAAATCACCTTGTAATATTAATCTTTAAGTAATATGCATTAATAAGTAGTGCTTGATATATAAAAAATAATTTTTAAGAATTTAACATAAATGTTTTATAATATAGTATAAATTGTTGTCGTATCAATTGTTTTCCTTTGTTGAATAAGTCTATATAATATATAAACAAACTATCTTTTTAGGTAAAAACTTGATTACATCTAACGTCTTATATGAAACTTTTTTTTATTAACCTGGATATTCAACCCGCTATGCGAGCCGACTAATCCCAAAACGATCACCTGCTTTGCAGATAGTCCGGAGTCACCGCATTTGAACCTCAGTGGCCACAAGGGGATTTTTATTCCTCCTTGGATTTGAATCTGGGACCTCGTGGTACTTTGGAGCCAAGCTCAAACCAATCAAGCACCACCCTTGTGGTTTCTCATAGGAAACTTGCCTTCAAATACACTAATGTGAAGGGGTATTTTATGGCTCTGTCTACGACTGAGGTTAGCGGGAGGCTTAGGATCAAATTTGGACCTGTCTTTGTATTTGGGTCAAGTCATCTCAACGTTAACTCTTTACCAATTGAACTACATCAAAAGTATGAAAAATACATTAAAATTAACCATCTTAAATACACAATAAAATTAAATAAGAATTACATATTTAGACATACTAAATGTATAAAAAATACAATAAAATTACTCTGTGAAATTATTTATCAGGAAATTTACGCAAAACAATTTTACAAAAGGAATTTCATCTTTTAGCTATTTTAAAAACCCATTTCTTTAAATAGCCGAAATTTACAAAAAACTTAAACGTTGAAAATGATTTTTTACGTAAAGTTTATTTTCTGGTAAAAAATAAAAATAAAAATAAGTTAAAAAATAATTTTATACAAAAAACTTTATATAGAAAAAGATTTTATGTGTAAAGTTTATTTTCAAATAAAAAAAAGTTAAAAAATGAGTTCATATTACAAAAAAAAAACCTATACGTAAAGTTCCCTTTTTTAAGTAAAGTTCAATTTTTAAATTTTCCTTCCTAAAAATAAACTTTACATAAAAAAATCATTTTTCTGCATAATTTTTTTTAAACTTTAGCTTTCATAAAATAACTTTATAAAATGGTTAAAAATTATTTTATAAAATGATTATTTAAGCAAATTTCCTTGTTTATCTCTCATCCGATTTTATGGATTTCATCATGTGACGTCAAAGGCCCATTTGAATAGAAAAAATAAAACTTGGGCTCACTTGAATAGAAAAAATAAAACTTGAGATCATGTGAGATTATAATATTTTTGTGAAATTTGTGAGACCATTTTTTTACATTAGAAATTTAATAACAAAAAATTATGAAAGTAACATTTATAGCATTTTTATTATGAATGTTCGTATTTTTTTACCTTCGCAATATTTTGCTGTGAAGTTTTAATTGTAAAAGATATGGTCTCACGTGAAACCCAACTCTAGCAAAGAAAAAAGAGCCATTTTCTCCGTTTGTATTATAGCATTGCAACTATTAACGCTGTTATTAGACCCGTTATTATTCATCAATATATTGTAACAGAAAATTAATTAAAAAAAAAATCTAGTTTATTAAACAAGTAATATCATATAAATTAAAATTTTCATAAACTAATTCAAATCAACCTTAGAGATCGGCGGTCTATTCTACGTGGAAGCTACGCCTTTACTGATTCATAGCCGGCAGCCGCACCGCCGCTAAAATATTTATCGAATAGTAGAGGGAACCCAACCCCCCTCAAACCACCTTTTAAGCTACAAAACCAATAAATAGTTTTTTTGCATCACATGTTTGTTTTTTCTTTTTCTTTTAAAGATTTACATTTAAATCGGGTTATCTGCATCTCGGTTAATTTTATGGGTTCTTAACAACAACTAGATTGGAGACGGGTCAAACTGGTAACTTTTGAAGAGGAGCTACAGATAAAGCTAATTGTGTAGATTAATATGTTTGTGTGAAACGGGAGCAGAGGTTCTCATGGATTGAGTTGATCATGTTGAACGCATTAATTTGAACAAATCAATCTAATGTTGGTGGTTTAAAAAAATTCAATTCAACCCAACTCATTCGATTTGATCGGGTTGTGCTTAAACAAAGTAAAATCAACATTCGAAACACAAAAATAAAGGAAACCTTCCATGGAAATGCGGTCAATCATTCAAGAGAATATACGAGTTCATCAAATATTTATACATTACATAACTTTCCTATAATGTCCTCTTATGAGTTTCATTGCTCGTTCTTGCCGAGTCGTTTTTAGTAACCTATACATATTTAAAAAAAAATACAAAAAAATAGAGAAGTTGCTAAAAAATTAATTTGGTTATCGGGTTGGCCGAGTTCCTTTGGATCTTATCCAATTTCAATTCAATAGATTCGGTTTGCCCTAATTCTATATCAATTATAAGGCGGGTTACATCGGGTTGACTTTTTTTTCAGGGTTTTCCAAGTTGAGTTAGCCAGGTTGGTCCGGTTGATCAGTTTTTTGAGCACTCCTAATTGGAGGGTTTTTGTCTAGGAGGAATTTTTTATAAATGGAAGAAGTACGTTTTTAATTGGAAGAGACATATTTGGAAAAACTTGGCTTTCTACATAAAGTCATCCTAAAAGCTTACCGAATAAGTTACTTTTGATATCATTAAATCATATCAAACGATCATGTATAATTGACTGAATAAGTTGTGAGTCTCATTATAAGTCCATTAAACGGCTAACACAAAGGCCCTAAGACTTATTTTCGGTAAACTAACCTCGAAATGTTAGCTAATTCTTAATTGTTGTCGGTTTCCATTATAAATGACGATCTTCTTAAACGAACCATAATGGTTTAATTTACGTAATAAATTCTGTTGAAGAAAACAAATAAACATCTTCTCAAATATCATGTTCTCTCCTTGTCGACCGATTATTAAAAACACACGATCAAAATAAAGAAAATGAAAACATATATTAAATGAAATAATTATGTCTTTACATGATTGATATCAAGAAGACATAGCACTTTGGAACAAGAAATTTTTATTAATTAAGTCGTGATATAAGTCTAATTCT